CTGCCTCAGGGTTCATTCCACAGCCTCCAGCTTCTGAAAGACAGGAAGGCCTGAGTATGGCCACCTCCCAGTGTGCCCCCTGACCCATCAGAAACTCTCATTTTCTGGTTAGAGAGGTATGGCTGTACAACGGACCCCATCTGCTGCCATTTCAAGAAGTCACATCTGGAATGATAAGAAAAAAAGTGTTTTCCAGAGTAGCCCCAGAAGCAGAGAAAAAACATTGCCTCTACTCTTTTCCAAGCTCCATGTAAAATCTTGTTTGTCCATAAAAACTATAAGGCTGGTGTTATGGCTTGTGCCTAGATGTCCCCCACCAAAGCCTCATGCAGTTATGGGGGCGCTTTTTCAGAGGTGGCTGGATCTAGAGTTTGAGATACTGGGATTAAGGATATGCAATTACTAAATTAGTTCACTGATTGGTTTGGTATAAGGATTAAGGGTGCATCACCCTGGGTGTGAGTACTACCTGCCCTTAGGGTAAAAATATAAGGGACTGAAGGAGGGCCAGTGTGTGGTGGCCTGTCACTTGTTGATTGCTGTTGGCTACCTTCTGACTGCCCAGTTTCACCAAAGAACTGTTTCTCTTCTGTGATGCCCTCTGCCGTGCCACCCTGCCTTGGAACCAGCCAACTATGAACTGAAACCTCTACAAACTATGAGCAAAAATAAACCTTTCTTCTCTTAACTTTGGATCTTGGGTATTTTGTCTCAGCAACAAAAAAAGTAACTAAGACAGCTGGTTACTCTATTAATGGAATGGAGCCAAAATTCAGAAAGCACAAAATAATGGTCAATCCTAAAGCACTTACACACTGTTTTGGAACTGAGCCAAGGGTTCAAAGATAGAAGCAGACACACTGAAACTCTGAGAGACAAAGTGACTCTGCTGTGCGTCTTCCTGAGTCACTTTCATCTCTCCCTGCAATGAGCAAAGGTGATGAGGTCGGGTGCGAGCTCAGGTTAGAGATGCCTCATCAGTGATCAGGGAAGGTAGAGTCTCAGCTTATTATTATTATTTGTGATACTGAAGAGAGGGCATTAGGAGCCCACTGATGCTGAAGGGAAAGAAGGAAGGATGGGAGGAAGAGAAAGAGGGAGGCAGAAAAGTGTGTAGAGGCAAACTGAGCTCCCAAATGAATCCAAAAGAGTAAAAACCTAAGTCTGCATATTCTTGGATCTTCTTGACTGTTCTTGAGTATATCCACTCAAAAGATTTGCTATAGGAAATGTGCAAAATGCAGAATTGTGTGCTCCTTTAACAACAAAAAGCGCTCTGCTTCCCAGACCCTACATCCTAGAACTCACAAATAGAAGAACCTTAATATCCTGTGCTGTGTATGTGTATTGATTATAAGTAGGAGCCACCTTCTTTGCCTTTCCTAAGAGGTTTTAGGTTTTCCTTTGTGCAGCCTCCCCTGCCTCAGGCAGTCTATGGGCTTGGGGAGAGCTGAACTCACCTCCCAGAAGGGACTCCATATTCTAAGACAGAGAATGGGGTGACTGTCTCACGTCCTACAGCTGGTTCAGGCTATCACGACACTGGTGACAGCCTGTGGCCCAGCTGGCCTAAGAGACACAAGCAGAGACTTGCTGGAAGAGATAGTCTCTGTCCTCCTGGATGATATGTCATGTAGGCATGAGCTCTGGGACTGCCGGAACAATGCTGTCACCATGAGAGAAGCCAGGATGACCTGACCCTCCAAGAGACAGAGCTGAGCAGCAAGGAGCATCTGAAGTTGCGAAGGTGCCATGAAGCAGTTAGGTAAGCAGCCATCTCTGGGGCTGCCCCCTGCAGCCTCATTAGGAAAGCCAGGAAGCAGACGCTCTGACGGCAACTGGTTACTGCGCTTCAAACTCGTTCTAACCACACCAACCACACATTCAGATTTCTATCTAGAGTTCATTAAAAAAAAAAAAACTACATCAATAAAAGAATTAGAGATATAAATTCAGAAGGAGAAACAAAATCACTTTATTGGGAAAAAAGGACAGAAATAAGGACATAGACAGCTACTTTGTTAGAGTGAGGTAGGAAGTCTGGAGCTAGCACGGAGGGCCTTTGTTCTCAGCCTCTTTTATTATATGGCAAGAAAGAGACTCTCCCCCTTGAGAGCTGTTATCACTTGATTGGCTGTTTTGGGTTCTGAGGCCCCTGACTTGGCCATTGCCCCTTCCATTGCCCACATGTGCATTTTTGGATAAGTGCTTCTGTGGGCTCTTTGGACTGTCCAGGTTCTTATCTTGTGAGATTTACAGTGAGTTACATTCAAGGCTTAATTAGTAAAAGGAGATACACTTACATTTTAGTGTATTAATATAGTGTGAGAATAATAATATATATATACTTTAATAATAAACAAATATATATAGGTGTGTGAGTGTCTAGGTGTGTTGGTGCATATTTTATATACTGAGTTTTTTATAATATAGCATCCCTCCTCACTTTGTTTCTTTTTGTGGTTAATCAGAGATGCAGGGAGGAGGGAATTGAGGGCTTGGTACTGATGTGAGCCAGGCTGCCTTATCTGGCTCTCTCTATTTGTTTTTCTTAGCTATTCTCCCTCTCCATTTGTGTTTCTTAGCTACTTTCTCTAGCACGGATTTAACTCTTTGTTTGCCAGAAACCTCACTGAGGCCCTTTCACTTTCCCTGCCTGTCTGCCAGCTTCCCCTACACAACTACTCTTGAGAGCGAGAGGGGCATTCTGGTAATTATACCAGAAGTACAGGCGCTGACCCAGACCAGCAGGGTCACCTTGACCTTAGCTTTTAGGAACTGTAGCATTCTCCAAATGACTCACTCACTTTAAATTGGAAGAAAAAGTAAAATCTGAGTGATTCAGAAAAATGAAATCACCTGATCAGCTGGGCTGAGTGTAATCCCAGAACTCAGGAGCATGAGGCAGGAGGATTGAAGCAAGTTAGAGGTCAAGCTAACTTAGTGATTCAAGCCCCATCTCAACAGCATAGTGAGACCCTAGCTCCAGTCAGCCAATCAGTATCACCTGACCGAGGCTCTTCTCTAAGGTCAAGTGTCTGCTGATCTGGTAGGTGGCACCTTTCCAAGTTCTCTAGGGTAGACCAGTTCTCTCCCATGACTCCTTTGCCTCTGGGGGCTGCAGCACTTTCCTATGACACCAATTCCTGCAGAACACTTGATTCCAAAGTCTCATCTTCTGTAAGGGACAGGGTGCTGACAAGGGTCCTTTCAAACAGTCAATCTGTGGCAGGCGCTAGAGGTAAAGAGTTTTGATGTTTCATCCTAAACCCTAAACTGCAGAGGGGTAATTTTTTCTTCAATTTTCTGTGAAGCAAAGGTCAATAATTTCATTTCTCTCCCTCTAGTAATTTCTCCTGTAATTTCATATCTGTGTGTGGGCGTGTGTGTGTGTGTAACAATCACTTCTTGTGTGTCTTTGTCTGATAATGAGCTCCTTAACCACAATTTCATAATATTGGTTGTAAGTGCTCCAGACAAAAACTGAGAGGAAGTCCTCATTACTCTGGTCACCAGGGACCTTAGGTCTGTATTCTAGAAATAACAGGATGTTGTACCCTCTGCAATTATCTTTGTTGCAAATTCACTTTTATGTTCTCTACAAATTCATGTTCTCTCTTAACTGTCAGCTCCTCCTGCAGCTGTGTGCCCTATTATATGGTAACCTTACCACAGGATTCTCTTTGCCCTTAGTCACCTCCTACGATAGGCTCCTGCCTATTCCTGGTAAAGGAATAGAAGTGCAGAAAAAGCACAAAGCTCAGGTCATGCTGTCAGTGATTCCCACTCAAAGAGTTTCAATCTCTTTTAAGTTTTGATGTCTTTGACAAAACCACTTCAAAGACATTGTTCGGAACTCCTTATATGAGGATTCACAAACATACAATTCTCATAAAATTCGGTACCTAGAAAATACTCAACTTCCTACCAAATGTTCTTTAATCAGACAACATGAACAGCAGCACCTTTATGCTCTGAATTAGTAATTTCTAGAACAAGTACTAAATTTCCCCAGCTCTTCCTCTGCTCTTGGTTGCTGGCTCTTTCTAATCTCCATTTTCACTGGCCTACTTTGTTAGTGCTTTAGCTAGCATTTTGAGCTACCTCAGGACTCTTTCTAAAGTAGACAGGGCATGAATGATAAAAAATAATTCTTTTTCTAATATTCAAAGTTTCCTTAATCTTATGAAACCACATCTCTTAAAAGTGTAGTTCAGAATCACATTAAAGAAATAATAATCCCTGAGCCTGAGAGAGCTAAACTCTCACTGTGAACTAATCACTTTAGGTCTGCTCAGCTGCAAACTTGATTTCTTTTCATTTAATTTCCCCAACTCTGGCCTTTTTCTTTCTGTGTTAAATCCATTACTCAGGTTCAGTCCTTGGAGCTTTACTTCAGGTACCAAGAAGGCCAACCTCACAGAAGCTGCAGCTGGAAACCTGAGAGGACTTTCCTGTTTGGGTTTGGTGAATATTTTGTAGGAAACCTCTGGAAAGCTTCATAAGGTTGCTCCAGGACTTAGAATTTGAAGATTTCCTTCTCAATACAACCTAATAGGACAACAGCTTCAGTAAGTTTTCATTCATAGTAGGAACAAGTCCTCAGGGTGACATCTCCTTCCCTCCAACCAAATTGGTTTTGCTTACAATTTTGACACAAAATGTGTAGAATTTTTCTTCATGGCAGCCATTTCCAAACTCTCTAGACACCTACTAGGTGTCCTATAATTCAATTCAACTCTGATACCTGGAGTCAGCACAGACCCCACAAGTTAAGGGCTCAGTACCACAACACTCACCCCACTTCTGACACCAATCGAAAGCACAGGCCACTGTACTTCTGACCAAGTGGAGCCAAGTGGAACCAACCCTCTCCACAAATCCAATAATTTACTAGAATAAATTGTAGAACTCAGGAAAGTCCTTTACATACGATGACCAGTTTATTATAAATGATAAAACTCAAGAAACAACCAAATGTAAAGGATGTGAGAGCAAGGAGTTGTGTAGGGCCATAGATCTTCTGAGCCCTTTCCAAGTTCACCTCAATGTGTTCACCATTCTTCTAGAATTTCCCTCGCAGGCTCCATTAAGAAGGCATGATTAACTCATCAGCCATTGGTAATTAACTCAAAGTCCAGCTCCTCCTCCCTTTCCAAGGGTCTGGGAAGGGGGCTTCAGGTTCCAAACTCTAATCAGGTGGTTGATCTTCTGGGGGATGAGCCTCTATCCTGAAGCTTTAGGGGACCCTGAGCCAAGAATCATCTCATTAGCATACCAGAAGTACTCTCACTGCTCTACAGATTTCAAGAGTTTTAGGAGCTCTGTATCAGGAGCCTGGGGCAGAAACAAAAACATACTTGTTATTATCCAGCTCTGAGACAAGGTCCAGACCTCCCACTTGTGATTCAAAGCTGGTTAAATGAGGCTGAACTATGTTCAGCTGATTAGAGAGATACCACATTCATCAGGTCCCATTGGTTTTCAAGAGTATAATATTATGCCTACCTTTTAAAGTCATGACTGCTGCTCAGGCCACAGGAGAAGAGAAGATGGAGCACATTCAGTCTTGTTAAAATCACATGTGTGAATTAACACAATGCTGTGATGGATGATCATTAGTATGCTTCAGTCCTACCATGTTTCCCCCAAAATAAGACCCAGCTGGAAAATAATCAACCTTGAAAACTAGGGATCAAAAAAGTCAGCCCCAATCAGCCTATCTTTAATTAATTTAATTTAATTTTTTTAATTGTATGTTTCCTTTTGAGTAGTTTCTATGGCTTTCTTGAAGCTTGCTCATTTTTTTCTGAATCTCTTCAGATCATTAATCCCATCCAGACTATTTTTCATGCAAACCTAGTACACAGAAGGCTGAGGCAGGATTGCTGTTAATTCGAGGCCAGCCCAGGCTTCATAAGCAAGTTCAAGGCCAGCCTGCACTACATAGTGAGACCCTATCTCTAAATTCATACATATATACATACATACATACATACATGACCACCTCCCCTTGACATAGGGGTTAAGCATGATTAATTCTCAAATCAGTGACATCAGCCATGCATGGCAGGAATTAAGAAGGAGTGAATCAGTATGACATGGTTAAGCTCCCTTAACCATGGTGCTGAAATCAGTTTCTACATTTGCCTTTATACCTCCCTTTGGAATAATGGTGATGCCCCTGCCTCAGGCTTCCAAACAAAACAAAGGTTTATACATTAAACAAAATTTTAAACACCAGGTTTAAACAAAGGTTTAAACATTAAAAATTAAACCTGAAAAGATAAAAACAAAGTATAATTCACTCTTTCAATATCTAAGAAAGAAGAAATTCTTCTAACCATAAATTTACTAGCCCAGACCATGCTCAATACAGATAAATTCACCCCAGCAAGATAAGTGAAGGAAGCAGAGACAAAGGATCACATGATACGTGATTTCATTCACATGGAATATACAGAATAGGAAGTAGACCAGTGGTTGCCCAAGGCTAGCATGGGCTGGGAGGTGAGGAATTCATCATGAGGGCTGACGAGTACAACAGTATTTTTTTTTTTTTTTTTGGAGGAATGGAAATACCCTAAAATTGGTTGTGTGGTGATGGATGCAGAACTCTGTGAATATGCTAAAAGCAATTGTACTGTACTTGTTAAGTGGGTGAACCCTATGATCTGTGAATTATATCTCAATAATCTATTGCTTAAAAAAAGAATGGAAGGCTATAAACCAAATTACCAGTAGTGGTAGATGGCTAATAGATGGTTTTTATTTTCATTATCTATATTTTCCAATTTTTTTCTCTAATAAATTGGAGTTATTTGAAGGAAGGGATAAACAAATGGGAGGGAGGGTATGGTTTCTTTTCCTAAGAAGCAGGAAGTAGCTGGGTGTGACAGTGCACACCTATAATTCTAGCTTTCTAAGAGGCTGAGGCAAAAAGATTGCAAATTTGAGCCCAACCTGGGTAACTTAGCAACTGAGAAAAACCCTGTCTTAAATAAAAAATAAAAAAGACCGGGGATGTAGCTCAGCGTAAAGGACCTGGCTCAACCTGCAGTCCTGGAAAATTAAATAAATGCAAACAGGAGATAGAAGCCATGACCGGTATCTGTTCATCTTCTGATGGCTATTTGCTCATTGTGTTGAAGGATATGTTTCTTTACCTTGCTGGGAACATGAGATTAGAATGATTTCTGAGTTAAGTTCATAATACTTTAAGATGTTTGCTTGGAATGTGTCCCTGCTGTGCAAAGTCCCAGCTTGACCTCCTGGGGTTTGCCTAGTAGGTCCGGGTCAAGTAGTGAGACTTTGGGATGATGCCCTGTTCAGTTTAGATACCACTAACGATATTTAGTTCTGCTTCTAAGTGTAGGAATAATCTGCAGGATCAATTATAAAAATCTACTAAGGGTATCAGTCTCTACTTAGAGACCCCCTTCTGTGTCCTACATTTAATTGGGCACTTCTTGCTCAAGGCCCAGCTAGGCAACCTCATGGAGACCTCAGGCTGCCAATCTAATGAGGGTAACCCTGACCCCCAAACAGAGGTGGACCTTTGGTATGAGGTGAGTCTGGAGACAGCGAGGAGCCTGCTTAGACATTCTAGCAGTGAGGTCAGATTGCAGGTAAGTAGGGAAGCAGTTGTAAGCCCCCAACTCCTCTCACCAAACACCTAAGAGTTCACAAAGCTGTTTTTGAAGCTCTTGGAACCTTCTCATATTCTGTATCTCACTGGGTTTATCCCAAAGCTCTTCCTGACATAGGCCTGGATCACTTGCGCAAACATATCTTTTTAAATTTTTTGTTGCTGATCTATTTTATTTCTCCTAGTCTTATTAAAGTATGCCTGATGAATAAAAATTGTATACATGTAAGGTATACAATGTTTTATATAAATATATATATAAACAATTATCATAATCACACTAATTAACACACCCATCATGTCACCCACTCACAATCTGTGTGTGGTGTATGTGGTAAGAACACTTATGATCAACTCCTTGGTAATTTCACATATGCAAAGCAGTATTACCAGTTGTAGTGACCATGCTGTCTATTACACCTCCAGAATGTACCATGTTGCGTAACTGAAACTTTGGACACTTTGACCAACATCTCATTTCCTTACCTTCAGAGTCTCTGGAAACCACCATCCTACTCTCTGCTTTTGTAAGCTTGGCTTTTTTAGATTCCACATATAAATGAAGTTGTGTAATATTTGTCTTTCTGTGTATGGTTTATTTCATTTAGCATAATGTCTTCCAGGTTCATCCATGTTGTCAAAAAATATCTCACAAATTTTTAAGGTTGAATAATGTTCCATTGTGTATGCATACATACATATACACATGCATGCATATGCACATATATACCACATTTTTTATTCATTCATCCATTAATAGAAATTTAGTTTGATTCCATGTCTTCACTATTGCCAAATAGTAATGTGATGAATATGGAATATAGATACTCATCTCATTGATATTCTGATTTCATATTCTTTGGATACATGCCCAGAAGTAGGAATGCTGAATCGTAAGATAATTTTGATTTTATTTTTGTGAGGAACCTCCATACTGTTACCCATAATAGTTGCACCAATTTACATTCCCACCAACTGTGTACAAGGGTCCCCTTTCTCCATACCCCTACCAATACTTGTTATTTTTCCCCCCTTAATAATAGCTGCCCTTGCAGTTATGAGGTGGTTTTGATTCACATTGTCCAATGATTAGTGAGGTTGTGCTTCTCTGCATAAATAAACTTGCCAATCATTTGTCTCTTCTCTTGAGAAACGTCTGTGAAGTTCTTGAAGGAGAGTAGGATGGGACCTTATTGCCCATAAGGAAATCAGGATACTATACTAAAAGAAGGGGCAGTCATTGCTGGTTAATCAAAAAAGAAAGCACATTCACTACAGAGAGCAGAAGAGTCTACTCTCCTACTCTAAAACAAACCTGTTTTAAAATAAAATCTTGCTCCTCTCTCATCTTCCTGGACCGCTCATGGTGGCAGCATCTCAGTTTCCACATTCCTTCCCAGGGCTGTGGGAGGGCTTCCTTGAAGATGCTTTTCAGCCAATCAAGGTGACATAGCCAGTACCCTACCCCAGGCTTTCCTGAGGGACTTAGAAAATTCTGAGGTTGCTCAGACAGGCAAATGGCCCTGTCCATGTCTTGAGGTAGATCTTCCCCCTTCTATGGCCACCTGAGAGTATTTGGAACATTTCCCAAGGCTCAGGCAGTCCTAGAATGCCCTCCAGGCACATCATTTTCAGGCCATGGCAGCTCCCAGGCTCCTACATTGACAGAAAAATTAAAGTGGAGGGGCTCTGGCTGAAGAGAAAGCCTTCTGCCATCCCGGGGGAAAGGCCCCCATTTGGCTTAGAAAATTTCATGTGAACAGGCATGTCCTAGGGGGGTCCTCTCTTTGGCTTCAAGCTTGCACATGTGGTTGCTAGAACTATGCCATTGTCTACATTTTTCCATAGACTCAGAGAAAGACAAGCCACCCTTCCCTAGTCTCCTCAGCAAGCAGGAAAAGGTTCCTATTCCAAAGGAGATGTGGAATATTTCAGAAAGCTCAGCTTCAAAGGGGCTTTAGGCAGTACAGTTGCAGCCTGTGGATAGTAGTGTGCATCTGTGTATTTAGGATAACACTCCTAGTCACCTTGTCAGATTAGACACCCTTTGTCAACACAGAAATTCTACTCAGTGTTGTGTGACAGCAACCACAATAACTGTCCATGATAAGAATAATAAAAAAATTATGAATCACAATGATGATCATTATCTTCCTGATGTAAATATTAATAATTTCAAGGGTCACATAATATTTAAGTAATGTGACAAAGAAATATCTTACTTACTTTCTCATTGCTGGGACAAAATACCCAACACTTACAAGTTAAAGGAGGAAATGGCTCACACTTTGTAGAGGTCTCAGTCCATAGTTGGCTGGCTCCAAGGCAAGGCAGCATGGCACAGGAGAATGGCAGAGGAAAAACAGCACCCGGCCTGGCAGACAGGAAGCAGCCTGCAGTGAGCCTTCCTTTCCCTTTTTATTCCATTTAGGCTATAAGCCTATTGATTGGTTGTACTCAACCAGAGTGGGTTTTCTGTCTTCAGTAAATCCATTCAACCACTCCTAGAATGACAAGCTATCACACCTATAATCCAGTAAAACACACTTATGATCCACCTACCTCCCCAAAGCCCTGCCTATCAATGCATGAGGCTTTCGGGGGACATGTAGATATAAACAATAACAGGAAATAAATACATGTATATAGTTTCAACAGTGATTACCTCCAGTGTCAGAATTATACTGTT